ATATTTATGTATATAATATAAAAATTATAAGTTATATAATTGTATTATATTTCAACCATATAGTATTATAAGTTATATTTATGTATATAATATTAAATTTATAAATTATATAATAGTATTAAATTTTAAAATTTGATCATTGGTTAAAATAAATAGTACACACGATTTGATTATATACGACTCACTATATTGATTGCATAAAATGCAATAAATATATACTTTTTATAATTTTGAGTGATCATGACCAATTAATTAGCTGAAAAATATTATATTTATTATAACAATTGCTTATGTGATTTTAAGAAATTTTACTATGACATAAACAAAATTAATTTATTAATAAACAACATCTTCATCATATAAAAAAATATTGATTTTAGTGTAAAATATAATTTTATGTAGCTTTCATATATTATTTAGTATAAAATATAATTACTAATTTAATATTAATTATTATATTATTCAATAAAAAATATAATTATTAATCAATTAATATAAAATATAATGGTTTTTGTCTTAATTAACCCAAAAAATGTAATGAAATATTTTCTTATTAATGAGATTGGGTGTATTAATGCCACATAAATAAAATTTATTAGGTTTTATTAATGATTTGCCACATAGGTAAAATTTATTAGGTTTTATTTATTAGGTAAAATTTATTGCTTAGCTAGCAATTATATATATATAGATAAGTAATTCTATAAACTATTCCAGTAATCATATACTTAAGAACAAAAAAAGAAAAAACAAGAACAAAAAAAGAAAAAACAAAAAACAAACAAACATGGATGTGATAACATAATTAAGTTTCTTCCTAAACTATTTCCAATAAATACATACCAATATTTCTTCATAGTATGAGACACTACAACATTCATGATATATATACCAACCCATACCTGACTAATCCCAATTTTTTCACATAAAAAAGAAAAAAAATAAGCCGTTTATCACGATCCAAAGTTCATATCATGTTAACAGTATGGTAAAAAACATGTAATAGGAAAGATCCCAACAAATTAAGCCGTTTATCATCCAAAGTTCATATCATGTTAACAGTAACGATCCAAAGTTAAAAAAAAGTTAAAAAAAAAATTAAGCCGTTCATCACGACTAATCCCAATTGTTTCACATAAAAAAAATAAGCCGTTTATCACGACTAATCCTAATTTTTTCACATAAAAAAAATTAAGCCGTTTATCACGATCAAAGTTCATATCATGTTAGTAAAAAACATGTAATAGGAAAGATCCCAACAAATTAAGCCGTTTATCACGATCCAAAGTTCATATCATCCGTTTATCACGATCCAAAGTTCATATCATGTTAACAGTAACGATCCAAAGTTCATATCATGATAAAAAACATGTAATAGGAAAGATCCCAACAAATTAAGCCGTTTATCACGATGCAAAGTTCATATCATGTTAACAGTATGATAAAAAAACCATGTAAAACTAGTTTTATAACCATGTAAAACTAGTTTTATAAATAAATTTATTCATGTGCTTTCGACTCCTCCTTCAACTCTGGGAGAATGGCTTTGATATCATCATGTTAACAACAGTATGGTAAAAAAACCATGTAAAACTAGTTTTATAAATAAATTTATTCATGTGCTTTCGACTCCTCCTTACTGGGGGAATGGCTTTGATATCATCGAGGTTTCATATCCCCGAACTGGCGTCTAACATAGGCCCCTCCTTCTTTGTAAAAAAAAAAAAGATTCCTAGTTTTATAAATAAATATATTCTCTTCCTTATAGATTTTTTGTTAAAATAACACATCATAATTAATTTGATAAATTTACACATAGTTATAGTTTTCAATTTCATGAAGTTTATATTTTTTTTCTACATTTATTTACTTATAGTTTTCAATTTTAAGCCTATTTATAAGATTGGTTTAAGTTTATAGTTTCTTATATTTATTTATCAATCTACTAGATGGTGTTTTGGAGGAAAAAAAAAATAAAAAATCTATAAAATATTCTTATAAAAAATCATATTTTCATATCAAGACTTGAATGACTATTTTTCAGAACATTGAACAAGAACCCCTCATTCATCTGAATAAGTAATTCTAAACTATTCCAACAAACACATACTTCATAAAAACACAAACATGATTGTGCAACATAATTAATTAAGTTCTTCCTAGACTATTTCCAATAAACACATAATTCTGCAGAAACAAAATCACACACTACTACCTTCATGATTCAACTATATATACCAACTTGATCGATTAAAGATACCGACTAGCTCCCAATTTTTTCAGATGATAAAAAAACTTAGCCGTTATCACGATATCCAATTTCATATCATCCACACTTCATTATTATTCGGGCAGTCAAGATCGAACAAGAATCCATAGTCATCCTCACACTTATTGAATGGCACAAGAGGCTTATAATTATCAGCATTCATTTCATGAGATAGAAGAATAGGGCCCACTTGAGTCGATGATAAACCGAGCGAAGATGTATTGCTTTGTTGGTAGAGTTCATTGCATGTAGACTCATATAAGCTATGTGAGCTGTTTAAATCTCCTCTTGATTTGTGAAATACTCTACACAGTACCCAATCTTCCTGTCATGAGTCATCACAAAATTTATCATGATATTGGAATACATGAAAACATGATACATACAAAAGTTATCATGTGACATATAAATTAATTAATAACCAAATTTTGTTTGGATGTAATAAATTTTTTTCTCATCACAAACTACTGTGTAAAGATTTGAAATATTACATTATCCAAGTTTGCAAGGGGGAGTGTTTGATTTAATGTGTGTACATGGAAAATTGATCAGAAGGCCCACGCGGAATGAAATGAAATAATTTATTACGTACAGAGAGAAAAATTAGACAGAATCTTTTTCCGCTGTCAATGGTGTCTGGTTCAAGCTTCTTGTAACACGATTGTCAACAAGAATGACTTATTTAATATACTCTTTGTCTGCCTTTATTCACATAATTATTGGATTTATCTAACACTTTCAATCAAGCTGCTCGCAAATTTTATTTTTTTTAAAAAAAAAAAACTTAAAGTGAGCGAAATTTGAATAACAACTAATTCAATATTCCCTCTATTCAAATTAGCTAGTTTATCAAACAAATTAAACAAGCTGATCGATATATCTTCCTATTTATAACTAACTACTTCTATCTCACTCATCCCTTAAAATGGAATATATAATGAAATAGTAATTCCATTCAAATTAAATTTAGATAAATAAAAAGAGAAGAATGAAGAAGAAGAAGAAGAAAAAGAAGACCGAGCTAACCTTAGGTGGCAAGTGAGGGTTTTCCATTCGAAACTCATGCATAATCCACCCGGTTTTGATCCCGTTTGGAGCTCTATTTTTGTAAAAAACAAGAGTCTTTCTCATGCCCACAACTGCATGTGTTTTTGGATCGAGCACGACTCTATCTTTTCCAGTAGCCTTCCAATAGCCTGAAGTGGTGGCTCGATTTGTTCTAAACCCGGTTGCATATTTCCGGTCACGGAAGCTAAAAAAGTACCACTCATTTGAATTCAATTTGGCCACATCTGAAAAATAGAATGAAATAAAAATAGAACTAATTAATCTCATAAGCATATAATATCTAATTAAGTATGCCACGTTGTCAATTAATTAACTAACTCTACGTACATATAAACCAAATTTACGTATGAGAATCGAACTTATGCTCGAAAGGAATCATTTAGTAATGCCATCATCTCTATTATGTTTGCTTGCATGACAAATTGTAGCTAAAGTGACAAAAAGAGTTGGTTACAAGTCATAGAGAGGGAATATCAAGCACGCTTAATTAATAATTATATATGCATTTTCAATAAGGTTTTGTGAAAGAAAGGGAAAATGTTTTGCAACCCTTTTTTTCATAGATGGGAAGGTTACTTCTATGGTAGAATGTCTATGTCACACCTCTTGTCTTCACCTTCAAGCTGTACTGTTTCAAGGTTAATCATCAAATGTTTAATTGCAAATTAAATTACAAAACACAAAACAATAATACAAAAGTGAGATAATTACCAATTTACTGTTGAGTTATGCTACACTGCCAGATTATTGGATTATATATCGAAGTTAAATAGAAATGAAGTGGATCTTCCATATAATATAACTAATATATGTTAATTTTTTCTACTTAAAAATTCATCAATCATGAAGAAAAAGTTATAAGCCTTTTGTCTCCTTAAAAAATGGAAAATATATATAAAATATTACACATAT